TCAGCCGCTGTGCAGGCTTCCTGTCCCTACCGCCGTTCCTGAGAGTTGACACTAAGGCCTCCTGGGTGCTAAAAGAGGGAGGGGCTGGGGCCTGAACTTTGGGTTTTGCTGCTATAGGAGTCGAGGCTGAGACCACCGGGTCAGAGAATGGGAGCCAGCCCAGGGGCTCGGCGTGCACCGGCCAAGGCAGGAGGCGGTGCCGAGCGAGAGCCCGGCTTACTTGGGATAGAACCGAAAGTCCCGCGCCGAGGTGGTCAGATAGAGCTGGCGGCGGTCCAGGACGCCCCGGTCGGATACTGTGAAAGGCCGGCCAGACAGCTCGGGGTTCTTCGTCCAGGGAATTAGAGCCTGAGCAAGATTGGGGGAGGAGGCATACCCAAGACATAGATTTCCTACCCCGTTCCAAGCCCTAGTTTTAGCCCTGCAGCAGCTTCGGAGCCCTGAAGGTGAGTTTCTAGTCCCTGGTCCTTCTGGCCTGGCCTGAATGCCCAGCCCCTACCCCGGCTCCTCTAACCTCCGGATCCCGCCCCAGACCCTTTAGCCGCGCCCCAAGGCCATGATTTCTTCTGGCCCCGCCCCAGGCTCCCGGAACTCGGCCCCGTCTCGGCAGCGCCGGCTTCCACACCGCCACCTGGGAAGGCCCCCCGCGGTGGTGGTCTGCGAGTTGTAGGGGCTGGGCCCCGACGTATTCGGGTACGCGCGCGTCCGGGTCGGGAGAGCCCCTGTACTGCGCCCTCGTCTCGCTGCTCTGGTACTTTGTGGTCAGTGGGAGGCCCCAGCCGCGGCGTCTGAGCTGTGGAAAGGCGACCCGGAGACCCATGTGAAGGCGCAGGGGACTTAAATGCAGTCCCCCGCCCTGTCCCCCGCGGACTCCGGCACTCCCCAAACCTTACCTTTTCTCCTAAATCCTTGATACCTACAGTCCGTGTGGGGTCTGCAGGCTCTGGGGCTCTGGGCTGGGCGCAGGGCCCGCCATGGGTCTTGGGCACGTAGGCCGAGCCAGAGGTTGTCTCCCATCTGCTGAGGACCTCGTCGAAAGCCCAGATGCGAGAATCCTGCTTTGCAGCCGGGGGTAGAGGGTCCGCGACCGTGGACTGGAGAGAAGGCGCTGCACATCAGCTAGAAAGACTCAGGAGTCCGTGTCACTCCCCACCCCAAACTCTGACCTCTTCCAGTCGCCCCCCAGCCCTTTCCTCTACAGTCCCTGGCATTCAGCTTCCCTGGTGCCTCCTCTCTTAGACCCAGGACTCTAGGACCCTCCTCCTTCAGAGAGGAGTCCAAACTCCCAATCCCCTTTACTTAGCCCGTATCTTTCTGGGTCTCCAGGCCCCGCAGGGCTTCAGCCTAGGGTCTGCCCACCTGCACCGTGGGCGGGATGATGGGTACGGGTGGGATAATGCGGTGGGCAACGTAGCTGCTGGTGCGATGCCAGTTGGGCCTGGATCCAGGTACCTCGGTTGCAGAGATACGGCACCACGCTGGGCCACAGCACAGAGCCAAGCTGCCACCAGCCATAGTTTCACCTCCACCCGGTAGCCAAGCCGTAGCTGGCTTGTTGTGGTTGTTGCCCCAGGTGACAGAACCCGCCCACCCTGAACCTAGCCAATCGAGGGCCTGCAGACATGTGGATGGGATGGAGTGAGAAAGAGACCCAGAGACAGAGGGACAGGGACCCCAAGAGGGGCACAGAGAAACACGGGGAGGGGGATGGAGACTCAAAGAGAGGAGGTGGGAAAGGGAAGGAGAAGTTCAGAATTTCAGAGACCCAGTGGGTGGGGGACAGAGAAACCCAAAAAGAGGGATAGGGACCTGGAGGTGTCAAGATCCAGACAGAGAGACAGAGAACCCTGCACTGCACCTAGCAACTCAGGACCTTCATGAGAAACACCCCCCTTTCTTCCAGGGCCCAGATGCTCCCGGCTACTTCCTCTGTCTACCAGGCCTGCCCACCTCGGGGTAAGGATTTCCAGACATCCCCTGGGCTCCCTGACCCTCCCTGCACGTGCTGAAGTAATCAGCACCAGCATTGGCTGTCCTGCCTGCCTTTGATTTGCCTGAAAAGTTCCACCTGGGTAGGCAGAGTGTGGAAAGAGGAGGGAACCACAGAGAAGTGCACAGGGACAGAGCGAAAAAGATGGGCTTTGATGAGTGAGAAAGAAGTACAGGAGAGGAGAGAGACAGGAAGGAAGAAACAGACCACATTGGAAATGGAGCTATTAGGACTGACCCAGAGGCTAGAGCCACTGGAAGTTAGAGACAGAGAGGAAGGTGGCAAAAAAGAGCAAAATCACAGATAGTAAACAAGGAGATGTAGAAACTGAGGCAGTCACGCCCCAGCCCGCCCAGGGGCCTGGTCTGTGCAGATGGGTGGAGGGGATGCCTATGTCTTTTGCTCAAAGCTGGACCTGAGAGAGAGAGGGAGAGAGACAGACAGAGAGATTGTGTGTGTGTGTATTGGCAACACATGTGGGGCGATGGGTAATACGTCATGGGCTGTTGTGAAGGCCTATGATCTCGCCCTGGCTTCCTTGTAACTTCTTCACTATAAAGAGCTTTTGGTCACCAGGCACGGTGGCTCACTCCTGTAATCCCAGCACTTTGGGAGGCTGAGGCATGCGGATCACTTGAGGTGAGGAGTTTGAGACCAGCCTGGCCAACATGGCAAAACCCTGTCTCTACCAAAAAATACAAAAATTAGCCACGCTTGGTGGCGCGCACCTGTAATCCTAGCTAAGGCAGGAGAATCACTTGAACTTGAGAGGTGAATGTTTCAGTGAGTTCAGATTGCGCCACTGCACTTTAGCCTGGGTGACAGAGCAAGACTCTATCAAAAAAAAAAAAAAAAAAGAGCTTTAGGTCAAGGCCTCTGCCTCCTCCACCCCCATTAGCTCATCCCACCAGCCCATTCTTCAGACAAGGAAAACTGAGACTGCCTTCTGCAGCCAGGCCCAGAATCCCACTTACCCCTCCTCCCCCATTCAGGCTTCTGGAGCCCTTCTGTTGGATTTTTCTGGCCCTACTCAAGGGCTCTTAATGCACAGTGACCCCTGATCCTAGCCAGGAGGCAGGCTAGTTAGTCAGAACCTCATGCCCCACTCAAGCTGGACAAATTTTTTTTTTTTTTTTTTT